ATACCAGAAGTGAAAACACTGGGGGGGGGGGGGGTGTCTATTTATCACCAATTCACAGGGTCATTTACCCTGTGAATGTTCGTTTTTGGGCGCATAATGCCAAAAATGAATGTTCTTTATATATATTTATCTCCAGTGCGAATGCAGTGTGTTGTATTAACACATTATGGCCACTAGATGGCGCTAGGAAACAAGTATTTTCTATGATTTCTGAGCGCCATCTAGTGGCCATAATGTGTCAATACAACACACTGCATTCACAATGGAGATAAATAATGCAAGCACATTCGTTTTGGGGATTGTTCACCCGAAACATTTACAGATCTTCTCCCTGCAAATGTTTTAGTCTTCAAACCAGTTAGTGTAATTGCTATTGAAAGTGGACCTGCCGTCGCCTCGCTGTTGGTCTTTGATCGTGATTGGTCGCCAATACCTCCTGCTGGTAACTCCCATAGCAACAAACATTCAAATACTCTTGTTTCAGTGTCTGGATATCCCACGGTATCTCTGTCTTCAGAATCCATCCGCCACGGAACCCGTTCCCTCTGCTGGAGCCGGCCACACACCAATAGAATCGCATCACGCCATTCGTTCCCAGATCCAATGTTAAAAGGGAAGTCAGCTTTAACCCTTTCCCTGCCACCGACGTATGGCATACGGCGGAACACAACTGTTTCCAGCCGGCCACGTCAGTGTGCCATACGTCCGCGGCTTTCTCCCTTCAGCTCTAAGCTCACGGTCGTTTTATGGAGCAGGAGGAAAGACGCTGTCATCCTGTCAGTTTAGGGATGACGGCGTCTCTGCGTGACCGAGCGGAGGGTCAGTGATATTATCGATCCTCTGTGCGCAGCGCCAACACTGGAGCGATCAGCTGATCCCTCCAATGTTTGTAAACAACTGGGGACACATAGTACTATTTGCCCCCAGTTATGAATGAACAGGAAGTGCTTCACATCACTTCCTGTTCATTCATGAGTTTCTGGATGGGTGGTAGCACTCACTATAGAGGCTCCTCCCCATTGATAAATATTTTACTATCTCCAGTTTGTGAATGAATGGGAAGCCTCTGTGCTGAGTGCTCTCCTTTCATGTAGAACAGAGGCTAGGGGGTATACGGCTTCTCCCTGCACAGAGCTGTATCCATACCTAGGGGTATACGGCTTCTCCCTGCACAGAGCTGTATCAGTCAGAGCACACTCAACAGACAATGTACACCCAGTCAGAGCACACCCAACAGACAATGTACACCTGGTCAGAGCATACAGTACTTAGCTCACATATAGCCAGAGCATGCATAGTAAGAGCACTTACAGACAATGCACACTCAGTCAGAGCACACCCAACAGACAATGTACACACAGTCACAGCATACATATTAGGAGCACATGCAGACAATGCACACTCAGTCAGAGCACACCCAACAGACAATGTACACCCAGTCACAGCATACAGTACTTGGCTCACATATAGCCAGAGCATGCGCAGTCAGGGCACACACAGACAGAACATACAGACGGACCATGTACAGTTTTAAAAAAATACACACAGGAGATGCACACAATCTAAGAACAAATAGCACAAGCCCAGCCTGAGCACACTGCCAGTTGGCAGGCCACGTATAACCTCAGAGCACACTTGACAATGCCACTTGTTATTGCCACAAGCAGTGAGGGTCTATGGACTGACCATTCCCCTTCCTCGCTCCCCGACTTCCTCCCACAGACGTGTGTGCACCGGCTGACTGACTGATCTCCTGAATGGCTCATTCATGTCGTGATCTTCACTTCTCAATTCAACTCCCTCCCAATTCACATGCGTTCCACGGTCCTCCAATGGGTACAGACGGGGAATGCGTCATGCAGGAAGTCGGGGAAATGCCATGATTCATTTCACAAACACATTTTATTGTTTTTGTAGAAATTATAGACCAGAAAAGGTTTTATTGTGAAAGAGAAATATACAAGATCGCACTCAGTCCATGGCTTTGTCCTCCTTCCCACCTTACAGTGATCCCAACCAAGTATGAAACATGTGAGCCCCCCCCACCCCCCCAGTTTTTTTTTGCCGGTCACAGGATGTTGTAAGTCTTTCAGGTTGAATGAAGGTCAGTATATCATTCAACCCCCTTCCTTTGAACCTTGGGGCCCAAATTTACTGTTGGACAAGGTGGTGCTCGCACTGTCCAGAGGTAAGGACCACCCACCGCCACCACTGCCGCCTCGAAGAAGAGGAAGGACCCATGACATCAGCAGACTGCCCCAAGAAAAA